TAAGATTCTAAGTCGATATTTTTATATATATTATATATATATATTTATATTATATATATATATATATATATATATATTATATATATATATATATATTTTATATATATATTTTTTATACATATATGTATTTTTTTTTTTTAGAAAAAAAAGTGGAGGATTGATGGGCTTCAATATTTGATTCGCATTAAAGACCCTAGTATTGAGAAATACCAGCTAAGTTTAGTTCGTAAGAATGAATAGAAAGATGAACTTGTCAAAGTAGTAGTCGAAATGGCATATCATTTTGATGAAATATCTGAAACGGATGTAGAGCTTGCAGAGTATGAAAGATCTGTTAAAAAATAATATAACGATAATAATATCAATACTGATCATATTGTTAAGGTGCTGAATCTACTATGGAGATCCAAAAAGGTAAGTTGATTATAGTTGTTAGGCGAAAATACGTATTAACATATGAATTTATTTGTATTAGCATCACATAGTTGTACTTAACAACTATATTTTTTTTTTAATTTTAATATATTTCTTCACTATACTCAAATCGGACTAATTTTTTTAAAACAGTATAAGAAAATTTTACATCAAGCTGAGGAAATAGCATTAACAAATTAATCAAATAAAATTGTAAAGTATCGATATTATAATAATGACTAGATAGATCTATCAAAACCTCCACTCGATGCCTCCTTTTAGACTATTTCCTCATCTTATGATCCTAATAAACACAACAAATCTAAAAATAAAGAACTAAGGCCTGACAATAATATTTTTATTAACTATTTCAAATCTTATTATGATTTTGAGTTCGATAACAATTCTGGGACAATTAACATATCCAATAACAGCAAAAATTCTGGATCCAACAACAGCAACATCAGCAACAATAGCAACAACAGCAACAATAGTAACAACAACAACAATAGCAATATCAGCAACAATGGCAACAATGACAACAACAGCAATATCAGCAACAACAGCAACAATGACAACAACAGCAACAACAGCAACAACAGCAACAATAGCAACAACGACAACAACAGCAACAATAGCAACAACAGCAATAACAGCAACAACAGCAACAATGGCAATAATAGCAACAATTCTGAGTCCAATAATAACAATAATTCTGGGTCTAGCAAAGGCAATTCTGGGTCCAACAACAATAATTCTGAGCTCAACAATGAAGATTCTAAGTTCAATAATAACAATTTAGAATCTGATACTGATAATAACGATTTTGGGTCTAACAACGCTAGGTCCAGCAATGATTCTGAGTATGAACAAGGGTAAGTATGTACCTGATATTTAAAAAGTTAATTATTATATCTTATTAAATTATTCTATGATTCAAATTCAAGTAATTCTAGGTCTACCAGAAAAGTATCAAAGAAAAAATCATACTTCAGGTCTACTAGAAAAGCATTAAAGAAAAGAACTGTGTCTAATCATCGCGAGTATGATATTTTATTCAAAAGTACTCTATGAAAATCCTCTCAGATCAAATCTTCTTCCAAGCATCAATGCCACTATAATATGCCTAGCAGTAGAGAATATTAGGAGGATGGGGATTATATTGAGTTAGATTAATTTGAAAAACATAGATATTTTAGAGTATATAGCTTTTAGTTATAATTTGAAATATAGAAAAATTCATATTGCTTTCGATGCTGATATCTTATAAATATCAGACAAATAAATGTCAATATTAGCTTTAAATATCCAAGCTGAAATTTATATATGTGCAGTAAAATAATATAAATTTGCAAATATTATATAAATATTAATGAAGTTAATATTAATATTAGACAGCTGATATTCCTATATTCATTTCATATGATAAATATCATACAAATATTAACTTTATTAATATTAATATCAGATAGCTGATTTTCCTATATTCATTAATATCATATAAATATTAACGAAGTTAATTTCAGTATCAAATAGCCAATATTTCTATATTTGTTTCATATAGTAAATATCATACAAATATTAATTCCAGTATCTTTGATATCTGATATTCCTATATCATTTTTATATAGGTCATATAAAGCTATCAATACATGCTACTTTGATAGGTAACAGATACATGCCAAGTATCAGTGAGCTATTAGCTAATATATATCAGACAGATTTATATGACCTATCATAGGCCTATCAGCTTGCAGATAGGTCACAGAAACTTTATTATTGGACCTGTGTAAAGGTCTAGAATTTGTACCTGCAGACTAAAGCTTTTGTGAGAGAAATTGTTGCTATAGCAAATTGTACTTAGATACCTTAAGGTAGCTGAGTGAGTCCAAAATAGTTGAAAGAAGGTATTTTATTATTTCTTTTTTAGATAGTAATTTACTTTGTAACTTATTTAAGTTTTTCTTAAATAAAATGATAGACAAAATTGCCAAAAATAAAATAAAATAAAATAAAATAAATATTTTGTTAAATGAATAATTAGTATAATTAATTAGAAATAGTAAGGTAAATTAGTAAATTCTAATATCAATATGCTTTAAATTACAATAAATTCAATTATAAAATTATTAAATATTAACTAAATTTATAACAAAAAAAAAACTCTTAATGCTATTATTGAGAGTTTGCTTATAATCATCAAATTTATCAAATATAAATAACTTGATATAAATAGATTTTTATTTATTAATTTTAAAATTTAAACCTTCTTTAAATGCATATTTATACCCAATTTCTAAAACATGCACTTAGAGAAGTTAATTCTATAAATGTATACTCTTTCTAAGTGCATACTTATATCTGGTTCCCAGAGCATGCATTTAGAGTATATCTTTTTTTTTGTCATTTCGGTCCTTTTTCTAGCATCTACGTAGCTCATATAATGCCTACTTATGGTTTGATTTGATATTATTGAAAATTTTATTAAAAGTACAATTGTATTTGTTGTCACGTGCATAACGTACGTATCAAAAAGTATATCAGATATGGGATACAGGAGTATCAAAAACGAATGTTTTACTACAATATTATTGTTATCACGTGTATACGTATAAGTTTTGCATCATTCATAATATACATGAATCTAATAAAAACTCAATTTTTTTTAAAAAATGTAAAAATGGGCTATTTTAGTTGACAACACTCTATATGAAGATTATAAAATATTCATTTAGATGTACAGTTCTTAAAACTGGTTCTTATAAAACCCAAATTTCGTACAAATCAAGGTTAAGTTCCAAAGAACAAAATTACGAAGTCAAATTTATATTTTCATAAATAGTTGCTACTTCAAATTTTTTTAAGCGAACGAAAAAACGATTTGCACATAAAAGAGACTGGAAAAAAATTTTTTTGCCTAAAGATAATAATATAATCCAATTTCTTCGATTAACCCATATAATGAAAAAAAAAACCATCACATTTGGATAAGATTAATATACCATAACGATAAGAGTCTCTTACCATTTACGGACATTATTTCGTTAATGATTTTCACTAGGGATTGACTCATGACTCGACTCGCTCATACTTCGAGCGAGTCGAATCGACTCAAGGTTTTGTTATGTTAATAGTTCCTAATAATTCCATCGACTCTAGTCGACTCGGTTCACTCGCTCAAAGTTTGAGACGAGTCGACTCGAGTCGTGCCCATCGACGATAAAAACATTGAAATAAAGTATCTGGTAGTGTACGTACAGTGGGGGAAAAAAGACTAATATATTATATTTTATGAAACATATTGATAATACAATTACGTATAACTATGTCTGATATTACGTGATGAAAATAGGGGTCATATTATATCTAAACAGCTAATATCTGATATCTGATACGTATGCTATTACGTACGTACAGTACAGTACATACCTGATACTTACTAATTATGTTAGTTATTAAGTGAAATTTTAAACCATAATTGGTTTTATATTTTTTTGCAAAATTATTTAAAAGAGCTCGTGTACGTATTTATTTTTACTGTATTTTATTTTTTTTTTTAAAGTAAAAAATTTTTAAAATTATATCAAGCTTACTAAATTTTTATAGAAAAAAAAAAAAAAAAAAATTGGTTTGTAAATATAATATATCATATAACGAAATACGTACGTAGTATGTATAATTATGTAATTTTATAAATAGAGCTTAATAATGGAGAATTGCATTATATTAACCCAAAGTAAAGGTTGGTTGGTTTATGTACTACGTACAGTTTACGTACCAGGTACGTACCTGGTACTGTATCACGAAACCCCTCGTAACATTTCGAAAAAAAACAAACATTTCAGAAAATCAACTTAGCGCAAAAGCATTTAATTTTTATTATTATATTATAGTTTTTTAAACAATATATATATATAAAGTGACTAAACTTATACGGACATTAAATACGTAATAGGTTTGCCGGGCGGGGAATAAAATGCTTTAAAAGACTTAGGGGATGATACATTGTATGACATTTCATCTAAATAATGCATTTCTTTAAGTCCTTTTTTTGATCCGTAATTTTTTCAGATACTTTGATTTTTTTCTAAATAAAAATTATTATTATCAATTTATAGTAAGAACCGTTATCAGTTATAGTAATTGATAATGAAATAAGAGATTCTTTTATTCATGTGCTATCCTATCGCTATAGATCATATAGATCATCGGGACATCGCATCGTGTGTTATGATGTGCTGTGCTCAGATTAGTATGTTTTATTGTTGCACAATAGTGTTAGTGCAGAAATTAAATTAATTCCATCGATATCTTTTTTGTAATTTAAAATGATTTTTAGAACAAATAAATTCATTACACATTCTTTTAATATTGAAATTTGCTATTTTTCTTGGTTGTTACAATAATAATATCCATTATGCACATAACACAGATTTGTTTTTTTTAGAATAAACGTTTCATAACCTTATTTTTTCAAATGTCAAAAATATAAAAAAAAAAAAAATCTTTTTTATTTGAAATATTTCAAAAAAAAACGTAAAAATAATAATAATTAATAATAATAATAAAATTATACGTAATAAAACATGTCCTCATCTGCATCATCATCCATATCACTTACTCTAGAGCCTACAAATGATACTTTTATCACAAAGAGAATAAAGCTTAGTGATAAACCAGTCAGGATAGGGCGTACGACTAATAAAAATTCCACACCATTAGGTAGCCCATTTTTTAAAAGAATTTAAATATTTTTTTAATTGAAATACTTATTGAAATCATTTCTATT